ATGGGGTGTTGTGTTTCTTGTAGGGTTGCTTCAACGGACCTTGGTGTACAGGGCCAGCTGATCGGTTTGGGTTTGAGGCTTTGAGTTCTCAAGGCCCAAGTCACGAAAGCTAGCTTCCGTGGCTAGCTGAGTTCGTTACCAACCGAAAGGTTGCATCTAGGGGTGGGGAAGGGCCCCGGCCAGGTGGGCATTTTTTGCGCGTATTTGGGGGCTATCCCCCACCTGGTGCTGGTTTTCGGCCTTCCCCCGCCGGGTCCGTTTTGAGGTGTTTGAGTGTGGTGCTTCGCACTGCTTCCGAGTGGAAAAACGGCTCCCGGATGATGCTCATGATGCGCGTTTGTTGGCCCCAAGAAGCTCCCAATGATGCTCGTGATGCGGGCTTGTTGGCTCGGATTGGGCTCCAAGAGGCCTCCAATGATGTTCGCGATGTGCGCTTGCTAGCTCCGATAGGGACCCACGACATTCCCAACGATGCTTGTGATGTCGTGTACTTGTTCTATCTGGGGCGCCCGACCCGAGGCCATTGGCTTCTAGGCATGATATATACATGTATTTATGGTATGTTTGTGCATATGCAGCTCTGCTCCAACCTCTTTAAGCAGAAGCTGAAGCGACCCGTATCTCGTGGGCATCCTAATGTTCGCCGTTTCCTGAAGAGCTCTCAGCAGCACTTTACTTTGCTGCTGGCTTGCTGGCTCCGATGCTTATGATGCTTGCACCTGGTGATGCTCACGCGTCGCCTACTTGTTCTATGTTGGGCGCCCGACCTGAAGACATTGGCTTCTAGGCATGATATACACATGTCATGTGTTTATGGTATGTTTGTGTATATGTACATATATATTAAATATACGTGTGCATGAAGCTCTGATCCAACCTCTTCCATATACTGTTTTTCTACTGTTTCCGCGCTTGTTGGCTCGGATTGGGATCCAAGAGGCCCCCAATGATGTTCACGATGTGGCTTGCTAGCTCCGCTCACGCGTCGCGTACTTGTTCTATGTTGGGCGCCCGACCTGAAGCCATTGGCTTCTAGGCATGATATACACATGTATTTATCTTAGTTCTCCAATACAAAACTTTTAAACTTTTGGGGTTCTTATAGTTTAGTAGTAATCTGAAAGTTTAACCTTTTATTTCTGTGGCTATTGGGGGAGTAAGTTATGGTATGTTTGTGTATATGTACATATATATGTATATATATGTGCATGAAGCTCTGATCCAACCTCTTCCATATACTGTTTTTCTACCATCTCATACTATACTAGTACTCGACTATACAGTCATATGTAGTAGCAGCTGCATCTCGACGAACAAGAAGCGCAAGCAGAGCATGGCTTGGCCCAGTGGGTGTCACCCACATTGAGGGGGATGGTATTGGTGCTCATTCGAGGGGTTCAAGAGTTAGGGTTTCTGTAATTGGAAGTTCAGTAGGCGTGTATGCATGCTTGCCTTCACTGGAAAAGCCTCGGTTGTTGACGCTTCTAGCTTTCGTCCCAGTCCCTCCGCCGCAAGTTAGGGGCTTAGGCAGGGTTTAGGAGTTTTGGGCTTAGGGCCCTAAACCCTAAACCTGCGGAGTGTCAAACTGCAGGGCTCATGCTCAGGGCTTACCCAAGCATCCTGAAGTACTTGGCCGCATCGCAACATCTGGGGTTAAGGGTGTCGGAACATCCGGCCTACAAAGCTCCAAAATCAGAAAAAACAGCCCAAAACCCCACACCTCAAGCCTGAATCCCAAGCTCCTGAACACGAAAGCCTAGTACTAGAAGCCTGAACTCGGAGTGCTTGAATTGTTTGACCCCGAATCACTGAATTTGCCATGTGCATTGCCTTCACCCGCCTTTTAGCAGGACTTTGCTACCAAGCCCAGGACAGAAGTGATTGCGGCCCTACAGAGAAGTGGGTGCTGATGGTTTGCAGTGGACGCGAACCCCAAAGCCCGCCGCCCCTGATCTAGACCCAGTATACTAAACTCAACAGCCTGAAACTGGACAAACTGCACCGGCCCTGAACCCCCGAGCTCTAAAACTCCAAGCCCGTAAACCCGAAAGACCCTAAACCCTCAACCCTGAACTCTCAACCCAACGCCCTAAACCTCAAACCGTGAACTCTCACGCAGACGGAAAAGGGCCCATAAACAAGAAACCTCTAAACCCTCAACCCTAAACCCCAAACCCTGCGGGTAAAGAGGCTACTGCACTTCAACAAAAAACCCAAACCCTCAACCCTAAACCCTACACCCCAAAGCCTCTGGAGGTGCCCAACTCTCTGGAGCCCCCGCGGCCCTCCCTTGGCCTCCTGGAGGCCAGCGCAAGGCTTCCACTTTTTTTTCTGGGTGGTTCTCAAAATTATGGTCCCTGTTTGGGGTCCCTACGGTTGATGATATAAATCCTGCATTACCTTAAGGACCCTAAACTATGGGAATTATGGTGTATTCCTTACTATGGGTAATGCAGGAATTCTATCATCAACCGTATTATAATACGGCACCAAATATTTACGTAGGGTACCCAAAAAGGGGACCATATTTTTGACAACTATCCCATGTTGTAGGGGCTTAAATAATTACCTATAGTAGTTTGGGGGTTCCGTTCAAGGGCTCTATTTGCGCTACTACAAGGGTTATTATGAGGATGTAGTATATAGTATAGGGACCTAAATCATTACCTACAGTATGTTGAGGGTTCCTCAATACAATTCTAGTATGCTATACCTCGAAACGCTATTCTAATTATTAGATCCCTTTTGTTATTTATTAGAGGCATCCGACAGCCTTAGCCGCCCTACCCCTACCCATACATATATACGCATAAGATATGTAGACAAGGTAGATAGATAGATAGATAGATAGATGGATCGACGAATAGATGGACAGATGGACAGATGGATAGATCGATAGATATCCAGGTAAAGGAATACAGTACGGTCAATAGATAGAGGTTTACGTGTAAATGTAGATGCAAATGTAGAGATAGATACAGATGTATAGAAGCATATGTATGTACATATGCATATATACACATAAATATTTGTACGTTTAGACTTTGACGTAGATATATAGATATAGATATTTAGATACGGGTTTGCGGATCTAGAATTCAGGACTTTGCAGGCTTGCGGGTTTAGGATCTAGAGCGTAGGGTTGAGTGTTTAAAGTTTAAAGTTTAGTGTCAGGCCTCGGACTTAGGATTTCTCTAGGGTTGAGGTCTAGGGTACGTGGTTTCAGGTGTCAGGGGAGCTTGAGGGTTTATTCGGTGAGAGCGGTTTAGGGGTTTGGGGTTTTAGGGTTTAGAATTTAGGAAATTTCGCCACTTTGTCAGTGATTTCTCATTCTCGGTGCATGGTATGGGTGTGCAACAGATTGAAAGACGGATATGTCATGCCATGTTTGCATCCTCCTGTCTCTGCCATTTGTGCACCAATTGCCTCAGTTATCTCGTCTATGAAGCGAACGTAGACCTCTCTCTATTTTTCTTTCTTTGTATCTCCCTATTTGTGTCCCGCATCGAGTCCCATGCTACCTGGTCATATCTTTGTATCTACCTATCCATCTACCCATCTACCAATCTAAGCATGCAGGAACAAGCAGGTCACATATGTTCACGTGCCATTGACCAAACCTTCCCTGCCTTTCTCTTCCATCTCTTTTGCATCTCTGTCTCTGTCTCCTTGTATCTCCCTCGCTATCTATCTCTCTCTGTCCTTCTCTCTGTATGTATGTATGTATGTATGTATGTATGTATGTATGTATAAACGCAGATAAACAGATAGATGGATCGATAGATAAGCAAGACTTTTTTTTGACTTTGCGATCGCAGAACCGTCCCCTGGTCCCTTGCGCGGCGTAGGCGACACGCCGAATTCAGAAATGAATTCAGCGCGGCTAACGAGAGCTGTAATGTACATCGCCTTAGACAATATCAGCTCGATGAGCTGAGACTGAAACTGAAATCGAGCTCTGACTACATGGACTTGCAGTCCGCAGTTCGATACTAACTCTAACACCGGCATCACTGGCTATACAGATCAAAGCTTAGTGAGACGAAAGCCGAGAATATAGCAATTCTCACTCAGGATTCGAGCATATGTTGGATGACACAGCTCGGGCGGTTGACCATCTTCTGTACACCACCAGGTGTAGGTCAGGCTCCCCGAAGGGGCCGACGGTCTCCCCGAGGGGGCCGAAATCCCCGGTGCACTTGCAAGTGCCACATCTCCTGGCCGAGAAGTTGCAGACACCTGGGATGCAAAGTTTTGGGCATCACGTGGATGCGCAAGAAATGCACGATAGTGGCCTTGCTGGGGCGAGGGCCCCAGGTGTAAAATCCCCGCCACCAGCTCGTAGGTGGCCCATTGGATCTCATGTCCAGGACCTCGAAAGACAGGGAAACTGACTCGCTGCATGGCCTTACAGGGGATACACGTCTTGTTTTTCCCCTTGGTGGGGTTTGCATATCGGGCAAGGCTGGTGAGCAGGTAGGGCGGTGCTTGGAGAAGGCCGTGGGGAATCTTCTGTTCGTGCCAGCTGATAATGCATTCTTGGATGGTGGCACTGGAGGTTTTCTTAGGGAGAGGGAGGTCAATGTTGAATAGACCACTGATAAGGGGCCTGCGTGCCGCAACAGTACCTGGTATCGGTCTTGCCTCCCACTGACATCGCATGTGTGCTGGGCAGTGTTGGTCAAATAAGTGATGTATGAGCTCAAGGCAATCTTGCTGGCGATGCAGGTTCGTCCAGCCGCTGAGAGAAGAGTGCCACCCGGGGAGGTCAGGGATGGTGATCCGCTCTCCAGGTAAAGGGACAGGAGCACTCAACAAATCTTGCAGTGATCGCTCAAGAGACTGGGTGCCATGGACTGGAGCACATGGTCCTGCAAGGTGTTGAATGTAGGCTAGCAGATACGCAGTGGCATTTATGTAACAAAGATTGTCTGGGTTGTGCAGTGTAAGATGTAGCAGTGCAGCAGGAATGCACACAGCAGATCTGAGTTCCCTGCCATCTACCATCCCACAGCCTCCTGGATCTCCTTGATCAACGGCGACCGCTCTGGGCGGGCCGGTTTGAGCCGGAGAGAGAGGAGCAGGAGCGCTGAGTTGGCATACCATTTCCGGAAGATCGCCATCGCCTCCGATGCTTCTGGTTGCTGCATGGACAGCTCCAACACAAAGGTCGCTGTCTCGGATGTCGAGTCGGGCTTGGCGTTGCGGCCTCCGCTGAACTTCAAGACTAGGTCTGGATTCTTCAGCAGGGCTTTGAGTCTCTTGGCATCTGTGAGGAGTTGATCGTGAGTAAGCGTCTCCCCTTGCCGGGGGACGAGCTTCTTGTCCTCGAAGTCCCAGTCCAAGAAGTTGAACTCCCCCTCCGACGTGGTCCATCCTAGTTCCTGGGCCTTCTTCTGGGACTCAGTGTCGGCTGCGAAGGCATTGATCCTGGTCACCAGTTCGGCTGCAAGATATTGGATGAGAGTTTGCTTCAAGGAGCGGGTCACCTTGTTCTGCTGTCGTTGTTCGCGCCAAGTTGTCGCCACCTCCTGGAGAAGCGGCACCATCAGCTGTGGGCCGTTGCCTGTTCGAAATGTGAAGATGACAGTGTGATCGCTCTGAAGGCGCGACAGATAGTCCGCTTGGACGATGAGGGCCTTTGCAACTCGATGCAGCAGAGCATGATTTCCCGAAGGCATCTTGGAGGGTCCATTGCGATTGTCTGGGACGTCGCTGCCCCGGCTCCCCTGAAAGGGGGCCGCATGGCGGCCGCGTCCCGTCAACGGTTGCTGCTGTTGGCGCGTGCCGCTGCTCCGATTCGGCGGAGGGCCTTTGCCTCCTGGATGCTGATATTTGGTTGGATTCTCTGTCAAGTCCGTCTGTAGGGCTCTTTTCCCTAGAAGCCCTCCAAACACACTCTGTTCTTCCTGGTCGAGGTCCATTTGCAAGCTCTCCATTGCCATCGCAATTGGGAGGAGCGACCAGAGCAGGGGCAGGTGAAACCAAGCTACTCTGAGCAAGACAACAGATGCGGGCTTGCCAAAGGACCGGGCATGTTGCAGCATGCTGGTCGGTTCGTGTAACCTTAGTGCCGCAAAAGACGCAGGGTGAAATGAGATGCCCCATTTTTCGGCAATCTGCTGCCGCAGACGCACCGTGCGTCGTATATAGAGCCTGATGCACTGAGCGATAGTGCAACTTGACGCTCTTGACCGATACGAGCCACTGTCCGCACGTAGTGCAGAATTGCCGCAAAAGCTCCTGAGCTTTGGGCTGTCTAGCAAATCGTAGCCAGTCCTCAGGTTTTTCAGGCAGCAAGCCATCAAGCGGTGAGCCCGTGGGAGCGGCAACAGTGTACGGCACCACCGGGGTCGGGGCCGTTGCTGTCGTAGTCACCTCGGTCACTTTAGCAGGAATCTGCTCTTCAAGCACTGTGGTACCTATCGACTCTTGGGGAGGATCAGTGGTGGCAGGTGTGGAAATTGAAGAGGGATGAGAGGGCTCACGAACCGGGTCAGTGTGGCTACTTAATGCAGAGACTGTATCCTCGGATGACACCACTAAGGAGGGGTCCAGCTGTTGTCGATGTTGGGTACAGTGCCCTTGCGTGATATGTCTCCTAAAGTTGTGCCAGGTGGTGAAGTCCTTACGACAGTGCATACAGACGGGCATCCCATCGATGCTGTGTTTGCGCACCTCTGCTGCATCCATCTGAAGGAGAGGGTTGGGTAGGGGGGTTTCATGAAACTGAATATGGTGCCTTTTGAGAGTAGCCAGGTCCGGAAACCAGAGGTCGCAGGTTGGGCAGGAGAAACGAGTGGTTCTAGGACCGTGCTTACCAGCGACAGGGGCTCCGTACGGCACCCCTTTCAGGGGGCCGGGCAGGAGCGTGGGAGATGCAGCTGCGATCGCCTCAGACTGGAGGTCAGCATCTTGAGGTGACGGGTTAATAACCAAGGGCTCCGCTACGGTCCGGTCCAGGTGTGAGGTCAGCGCCAGTTTGGATTCAGTGATATGAACCAACCAGTGCATGATCCGAGGCCTGGCGACCATGGGATCGCTAGACTCACGAGTCTTGACAAGAAGTTTTTGGCTCCGTTGCAGCAAGGAAAGTAAGGGGTCCTCTACGTTCAGGCGCTCGAGCAGCGCTCTGCTAGATTCCTGAGTCATGTGCGCAAAGCTGCGTGCGATGGCTCTCAGATGCCTAACCAAGGTGACTGTGATCCGGACTACATGCCTTTGCCGTAAGTCGACTAGGTGTAGACCATACAGAGCAGAGCTCCGAACACAAGCTTGCCAGAGCTGGACTCTCTTAGTCGTGGGCAGTGTGCGGGAGTGGAGGACCTTGAGAAGGCGAGCTCGCTGCGCTTCGGCTACCTGCAGACGGTGGTCAACAGTGGCAGTGGTGGCATCCACATAGGAGAGGATAATGCCTAGGTACGTCAGCTTAGTCACAATGGGCAGGCGGAGTGCCTTGCTGCCAGGTTGGGGTATAAGCAGGAAGCGGCCCTCCGCAGTGGTGGCCGTGTGAGCTCGCCACCATTGTGTGGCCTGCCTTCCTTTATATGCCACAATGAGTTGTGTTTTCCGATGCTGAACTTGAAGGCCAAGCTGAGCTAGGATCCGAAAGGTGTGGGCGATGATGTCCACCATATTCTCCAAATCCTGAACTCGGTGGACGATCCACTGGAGTAGTAGATCGTCCGCGAACATCGTGGTGTCCTCTTGCAGCCATGTTACGGAGGTAACGCCTGCCAGCGCACGAAACAGTGCGATGGTGATGAGAGTCCATAAGCTCGGTGCTAGTGGGCATCCCTGCCGCACACCCCTTTCACTCTCCACGCGAGTTGTGGGGTCCTGGCCTGCAGGCCAGTAGCCAATGCAGTGGTGGAGATTGAGGATAACTGCCAGCTCCGGCTCCGGTACACGGGCCGCCCGCAGCTCTTGCTCGAGAACCTGGCTGTTGACAGTGTCAAATGCTTTGCTCGTATCAATAGAGAGCGTTACTCCCCCTTGACAAGAGGTGGGCTTCCGGCCAGTGTGACGACGTTCTCGTAGTGTAAGACGTTGCGACGCCAGGATTTGTTGGACCTGGGAGCAGTGATGCAAGGCACGTATGATCGCATGGTCTATGCTTCTGCCAGTTGTGTAAGCGTACTGGGGCCACAGTTTAGTGGCTTCGGCAAAGATTGGGCGAAGGCGCATGGTTAAGGCTTTGACAACGATGCGGCCCCCTCCCTCCGTCAATGCTATAGGTCGTAGGTTCTCAGGCTGGTCAGGCGGTTTTCCTGGCTTAGGAAGCCAGGCTACCCATGCATCAGCCCATAGTCGGTAGAACGTCCCAGCCTTCTCCCATAGGTTCTCACAAAGGGTAGCAAGGTGTGGTACTACCGCCTCCTTGCCAAGGTGCCATAATAGAAGTTGCGCAATGTGCTGTGGTGTGGCCTTTCGGGCAGGGAGAGTGTTGATCGCCAACAAAAGCTCGGCCTCACTGAGAGGATGACTGGTTAGCGCCTGTTGGGGCCGGCCATCCACCAGGGGGGCCGGAGATGGCTGGGCATACTTATGAGTATCGGGTGGCAGAGCAGGGGTGGGAGTATCGTCACATGGTTGGTCAAAGAGAGAGGACTCCTCTGATGAGAGATCACGGGGCAGGTGGTAAACCTGTTCACAGTACTGAGTAAATCTTTTTGCCTCTTCTCGCTTGGTCAACAGCTCACCTTTGGCGCCCCGAAGTTGAATACGAACCCTAGCGGTTTTTGGTGCTAGGCGTCTAATAACCTGCCAAATTGCGGACTTATCCCCTTGCCTGTCTGCTTGCCAAGCCTGCTGAAGTTGTTCGTCAAGGACCTCGCGTTTGGCTTGGCGACCACGTTTGCGTAATTGGCGATGAAGGTGCAAGTATTGGGCCTGGTGCTTCCAGGCGGTGAACAGATTTGCAAGACTAAGCCATAGTCGATTTCCGGTTTGACGCCAGTGGCGAATCTGGGCCGGAACCGTCAGGGGACGTAGTGTATCAACCGCATAGCGCAGGGCAACTTGGCGACTGGTCCACATGTCTTTCACCGTGCCTTGAACCTTGTCGGCAACACTCAGGGTTGGAGGGCCGTGGCTAGCAGGGAGCAGTTTGCGAGCCGCATACTGCAAGGCTTCGTCGAGCTGTTCAGGGGTAGGTTGGGCTGGTAGGTACTCTGCGAGGCTGTCGCGGAAGGCTTGAATGCACGAGCTGGGTTGTTCAGAGGCGTACCTGGCAGCCTTGTTTCGGTGCACTTCGGCGGCAGGTGGCGCAGTTTGATAGTGTATCGCGGGTAAAGAAACCGAGACTGGGTGGTGCCGGGCTCCCCCTCTCCAACGCAACAGGTGAAAAGCGTGGTCAGGTTTGGCCTGCCTGGCAAGGCCATCGACCTGGGCTTCACATGCAAAGAAAAAGTCTATGTGGCTCTTAGCATTATCGTGCTCTGCTCATACGTAAAGGATTGGGAGCCTCGGCACCACGTGTTGAGGGCCGTGAGTTTGTGTGTGGAGGCCAGATTGGCGAGAAGGTGTCTGTTGGCGTGGGGGTGGTGACTAATGAGGGTGCCAGGACCATACACACGGGTGTCCCGAGTACCGGTAGTGTTAAAGTCTCCCCCCATCAGCAAGACATTACGAATAGGCAACGAGGAGAGGGTTTTCTCCAGGTGGTGCAGGACTCTTTCTCTTTTGTGTAGAACGGCTGCCTGGTCAGGGCCGGTATGAAAAGCATATTGGTACACATTGATTAGGTCAACGTCTCGCCCCTTGATGGGGAGTCGGAGATGCAGGAGGTGGCCCTGAAGTGGCGTGGACCATCGGATGTCTTCGAACGGAGCTAGAGACTTTCGCACCAAGATCATGCACCCTTGAAAGCGATGGTCCGAGGTACCACTGTGAAAGACATGAAACCGAGGCAGGCACCAGGAGTTGGTGAATCGCCAGTGCGATTCCTGCAGAAAGACGAGGTCATAGTCTTCTTGGTTATGTAACCAGATCTGGACTTCTAACCAGGCATCCTGCGAGAGCCCTCCTACGTTCCAAGTCATGGCCCGCAACCTGGGGCCCTTGCGGTGATCAGTATCCTGAGGGCGGCTCCGCACAGCGGGCCGAGTGGTGGAACTAGCTGTGGCACCCTGCAACGTATTGAGAGCACACACCCTACCTCGATACGTGGTGGTGTGGGTAGGAGTCCGAGTCGCACGCCCTATGGCACGGCGTAGAGCACGTTTACGAATGATAGCGCGGGGACTCAGGGAGTGGCGTCCTGCATGAACAGGTGCAGGATGGATAGGTTGGCCCTTGTGTTGAGTAGCAGAGCTGGTCTGTTGATCTACCGCTGGGGGGGTAGGGGTAGTGGGGGCAGTAGAACCAGGGTCGCCTTTGGCTAAGCCTAGAGTCAGGCAAAAACAGAGGAATATGAGCATTCGTGTGACGACACGAACCTTTGCTGAAGCTGCTCGGGCCTTGGGGTTGCGCCGGCAACCGAGAAGGCGACTGCTGTCCCAGGACGTAGTGCTTGGACCTGAGAAAGGAGCAGGGTGAAGCAAAGGTACCATCACAGCAAGGAGAATCCACCGGCTCAGCAGGCATACGACAGAAAGGAGCTGCTGGCTACAGATGATGGCTAATACTTGGGCAGACAACAACTGAAGGTATGGACCTGGCTCAGCACTTGCATGAACACTGGAAAGCATGTATGCCTCCACCATCGCAGGGGATCGGCTCTCCGAAAGGGGGCCGCTTCGCGGCGAAAGGGAACGAGCACGGAAAAGACGGTCTTGTAGAGCAAGTGGGCCTGGAGCAGCAGCTTCTTGATCAGTGAGGGCAGGAGCAACCGGAGACCCGAGCCACATGTGGAACACCATGGTCAGCTGGTCGAGCGAGATTCTCCATGGGAGGGAATCGTAAACCCGGCGGGGTATGTTGCTGACCAGACTGTGCAACAGCGTAAAAAGCTCCCCAAGTTGTTCGAGCAGATCGCGACGGGAGCTTTCCCAGAGAGCCAGTGACCAGGCTTCAACCAGGTCCCCGCACGTGCTCGAGCTGCTGATCTGTGGTAGATAACCACTGCTCTGTAAGCCGAGGATGCTCACTCCGAGACTGAGGATGTAATTACCCACTGGAGGCAAAGGTAGCGGCACCCCTGAGGGGCCGACGACACCCTCATGCATGAGCTTGTCTCTCATGAGATGAAAGTCATGGTGTCTTGCTGCATACCCGCCGGCCGCTTGGTATAAGTGGAGAAGGTGAGGTACATCTGCATCTTGAAATTCAGCCGCTGCCTCGTGAACCCGCAGCAGTAAGTCCCATTTGAGCCGCAGCGCATCAAGGGCAGGTGCAGTGTTTGGCGGCGGCACTGTTTTGCTGCGACGTTTTTTCTGCGGTTGACCAGCATCCATTCTCAGGGTCAATGATGTTGTCAAGGTCGGCTCCCCATCGGGGGCCGCCTGAGTGATGTCCTGATCAGTGGTGGTGGTAGTCGTAGTCGGAGCGGTCGCCGGCATCGGAGCTGACCTTTTGGCCGGAGAAGCTGGTCTGGCTTCGGTCGCCGTCGCCGGCCTCACTGGTACCGCTGGTGCCTCTTGTGCCCCTCCCAGGATTATGCCGATGCCCGGTGGGGGAGCTTTGGTACGTTTGGGAACCCACTCCAATTGCTTCGGTGCAGGCGGAGGTCCTCGTCCCATCCAGTGACAGCGGAGTTGGCTGCCGGCGTAGCTGTCGCAGATCCCGTTCCTGAGCTCGGGAAGGCATCTCCGGCACCCGTGGCGGGGCCGTCGACTTGCACCTGCTTCGGCGGTGGAGCCATGCCTGTTCCCACAGTCATGCCCTTTCGGCATCGCAGGGGTATCTGACTGGGACGGTTGAGCTCCGTCCGTGCCATGGGCCTTGGCAGCAGCTCGTGCTGCTCTTTTGGCGAGTTCGCCGGCTGTTCGGCGTCGGGTGCCATCGGGTCTGTAGTGCTGTCTAGGCCCTCCAGCAGGCCGATACATGATGGAGAAATGCTGCAGGAAGTCAGCGAACCATGTCGGCTGAGAGCGTAGGCACTGGAAGCAATCAAGCACGAACTTGCTAAGGAAAGACCGAGAGGATAACCTGTCACGAGAGCTTCGTCCGGAGCGGCGGCGGCGCCCAAGTAGAGGCCGAGCCTGCCAATACCGTGGATGGGGTGATAAAGGTCCCTCAAAAAGAAAAGGCGAAGGCACAAACCACTGGGGTCGGGCAGCCGAGGTGGGAGCTTGATGACAGCGAGTCGGGTGAGAAAGGACCTGAGCATGAGCAAAGTCAGAAAGGATCACAGGTGGCTGAATTAAAGAAGACATGACCTTGCAGGGGTCGAAGCGAGATTTTCTGGAATGTCGCCTGGATTTCGGCACCCGCTCCGGGGCCGGCGAGTGGCCTCGGCTTCCTTCCTGAGGTGAGACGCCAATCGCGGCAAAGGCCGCCTTCAGGCGGCCTGGTGATGGAATTGAATCGCCCGGGACGTCATTGGCACAGTGCCGGTGCATATATTGCACTTTCATGATGTAGTCGATGGGAATACATCCACTGAAGCCTTCCGACAGCACCACCGAGTTGGTACTGACATACAGGCGCATGTTGTCCCGGAGAGCCCGTGGAATGTCGAGATAAAGAAGGATTTCGACATCTTTCCTCATTCCAGAAGTGGCCCTGTGTTGATCTCTGGGTAGGGCCATGGCGAAATGGACATGTTTCCTGGCCCGCTGCCCTCGGTCTCCTCCCGCTCGCAGGCCTTGGTGATAAATCGAGGAGTAATGTCGAAAGTATGTTCCGTGAACCGCCAGCGGCACCTCATGTGGGGCCGTAATACGGGTAAGAAGAAGGTCGTCCTGAACTTGCTGCTGTGAGTGGCCCTGGGTAGCCCTGATAAGGAGCTCGCGACCGTGCCCGCGCCCTTGCCATGACAATTGGAAACGCTGCTTGTCATTGGCGTGCACCGCCTCCTGAATGTCTGTCAGGGTAGCACCCGCCTGCCGGAGGCGTGGGTGCCGCAGTAGCTCTGTCACTGGGATATATCCGTCCTCGCGTACTCGCCCCGTGTGTCGCAAGATCTGCGACATTGCTTTTGAGGTTTCGACCTGCCAGCTCGGGCTTCTTCTCGGTGCTGGTGATCGTGCCGGCGATCTGGAGCGATGGTAGCTCCTTTGGGTACTGCGATGCCGCATGTCGGCTCCCCTTTCGGGGGCCGGCCGCAACCCGTACCTGCTTCCAGAGAGGCGTGGCAGTTCGAGCTGTTCTTCAGAACTGGGATCGTTGAGAACCTCCACACTGTCTCCAGCAGGCTCGTGCTCTGGGGGGTGATCATCGGCTTCTTCATCGTCTCTGTCAGCCGGGACCGGCTCCCTTTCGGGGCCGTCCTCATCCTCCTCAGTGTCTGTCGGATCCTGGTCTTGGTCCTGGGCAGCTGCCTGAGCTGCCCGCTCTGCAGCTTTGGCTTTCCTTTTGGCGATTTCTCCTTGGGTGCGCCTGCGGCGGCCATCAGGCCGCCATCGTGATCGAGGGCCGGCCCTTCTCCCCATGGCCGATATGTCCCTCTGATGCTGTTGTGTAGGGGTCCGAGGTGAATCGTCTATACTCAGTAAGGGTAATGATTAGAGCTCTGGGAGTGAGAACCTGAGGCCCCAAGGGCCCGGTGTAACACAAGGAGCAGAAAATCCCCCACTTCTGCAAGCCAAAAGATTGCCCGTGAGCTCGCATGATAAAGCCGGAAAGTGCAGGTCGGACATGTGTCTGATCTCGCCCACAGAGGCTCAGAGGCAGACCGTGAGACAGACGCCATGCTTGTAGGTGCAGGTTCCAGCCTGTTCCAGGATAGCTCCCACACAACGGGGTTTGTTGGCTGCAAGAAGTAGCACGGCACCCGGGTGGGGCCGACCGAGTTGCAGGCTGACCTGAGATACGAGTGAGCTGGAGCACACCTGGCAGAAGACAAGGCTCCTGTGAGGGGCCGTGAGGCTGCACCGTGAGGGGCTGCACTGAGCATAGGCTGCCCAAGCTGCCGACCGACCTAAGGTGTGAGTAGGCCTTTCTCCACCTGGCAGCCAGATACAGAAGCTCAGCTCATACAGCCGAGGGTGGCAGAAGTGCATGAGAACTCCTAGTTTTCGCAGCTGCCCTGCAACGGGAGAGACAACTCCACCATGGCTGCTCTCTCGGATCACTCTAGCAGGTTCATGCAGCTCATACGGCTCATGCAGCTCATGCGGTTCACTTGGCTCTGCGCGACGATCCAGCTGCTGATGTAGTTCTCGAGGGCGGCTTCTCCTCGTCAGTGCTGCCGAACGGGGAGTGGGAATAGTGCACGGGCTGTGGCGGCGGCGGCCCACAAGGAAACCCGTGTCTCCTCCCGCTCCTTTCGATTTCGGCAGAGTCACAGGAGCGATCTCGTACCGGCCGGGGTCTCGGTGGAGCATACGGCGGTCCAGCAGACGGTCCCGGCGGATTCGGCGGCACCAGCTCCATGTCCATGGCATCGACAGCCTCCGAGGAGTCGGTGAACCAGGAGATCTGCGAGGTGCGGCCTGAGGAACTGCTTTGAGAGGAAAGGCGGGTGTTGTGCTTGGGGACCTGGCCAGCCGGCTTCCGACCACGACGACGGCTCCCGCAAGGGGCCGTGGCTGAACGGGGCATGCTTGGGCGTTTGAGGGCGGCCTTGGGCTTTCTGTGAGCTGGGCCTCTTCGCCACACGGCCGGCAGTGCCGGCAATGCAGCTCGATGGCTTGCGTCGGATCGTGGCCCCCATGCCTCCTTACGGGTTGGATCTAGGGCGGGTCCCTGGCTTGAGCAGCAGTCCTGCAAAGGTAGTGTCAAGACTACACAAGGAGCAAAATAACGGAGCAGGCGGTCCCCAAACAGGGCCGGTGAGGCAAGAAGGTGGTACAAGAAGAAGATGGTTTCCAGAATAACCTGGATGACCTGAGTTTCGCGATCTGCATTACCAGTACAGCATGTTGAGGCTGCAACGATGCTCGGTGAAAAAGAAGATCGCCTACCTCGTGGCTTCGCACTAGTGTGTGATAGCACTAGGAGGGCTGAATAAGCCGCTCCTGCTGGACCTGAGGCAAGGTATCCAGCAACCCTCGCACCCCTCGCTGACAAACGGGATGGTGATGGGCAATTTGAAATCGAGGCCCGGACTTGGGACCGGGCTCGGCTCGGACCGGCTTCCGCTGAGGGAGCCGTCTGTGGAGAGCATCGCGAGTGCTCCCGCGAGCAGCGCGCTCGCAGCTATCATCAAAGTCAAGAAAGCGATGCTGGCTCCCGGGACCGGGGCCGCCAGTAGCATTCACATGCTCAATCCATGGAGTGTAAGTCCAGTGCAGAAGCATTCTCAGAGTTCTGAGCCAGGGACGTAACCTGATCGGCACCCTGATAGGGGCCGTAAGTGGCATCGTGCTTGCGCTGTGCCTGTGCCAGCGCCTGCGCTGCGAGAAGATCCTGGGACCTAAGTATGGAGGTTCTGCGGCGCACCTTCCGTTTCGGTGTAGATCCCAGCTTGGAGAGCAAAATGCACTCCGCGGGTGTGTCGGCAGAGCAGTCCATAGCACACGTGTCCTGATCAATGACTGAGCTCTGTTCCAACGCGGACTCCCTTGCGGGGCCGGTTGCAGGTCCTGAATCGGGTCCTGAGTCGGGTCCCAACCACGCGGAGCTAATTTTGTTGGGTTTGCGGATCGATTCGGAGGTCCTGTCGGTACCGGCAGAAAGGTCAGCGCACTTGCCACTAGACTCATCGTTGAAAGCAGCATGAGAAGACGCCATGTCATGCGGCACCCGGCTGTATATACAAAGCTCTGCTTGTAGAGCCGGTCTGAGCCGTGGTGCTTGAGCCAAAATGGCTAGATAAGCAAGAGAGAGAGAGAGAGAGAGAGAGAGAGACAGAGAGAGATGGATGCCAGGTAGCTAGCCAGCTAGTTAGTTAGCTAGCTTGCTAGACATAGACAGACAGACAGGTAGACAGATAGCCAGACAGACAGAGAAAGTGAGAGAGAAACTTTGTATGCACATATACATATATATATATATATATGTACATGTATGTGTATAGACAAGCTAGCCAGTTTGCCATTTCATCTGTCTGGCTAGGTAGCGAGCCGGCAGCCAGTCAGGTGAATCACTGGCTGGGTGGGTGGGTGGGTGGGTGGGTGGGTGGATGTATGTGTGCATGCATGTACGTATAGATCCCAAACAGTAGATTCCCCAATGTACAAAAACAAACGCCCAGAGGGGACCACCTTTAATTGTCCGAAACTGCTGCTTTCTCTCTGTGACCCAGCCCGATGCGCTGCTGACCAGCCGGTCGCGAAGGAGACGGTCTTTCCGGCCATGTTTTGACGTTGCAAGCTCCGGCGTTAGAACTTGCACTGTTTTGGGCCTTTTGTTTGTTTTGGGCTGCAGGGTGTTGGGAAAGTTGGGTCTTGTGGTTTGGGGCTCAGTTTCGGCAAGTCCAGCATTCGCGTTTAGGGCCACGGGGCTGGTTGCGTTTAAGTGTTCACTTGTTCCGGCTAAGGGTCGGCTTCGGGTGTAGGGAGTGGCGTTTATGATTTGCTGCAGAAAAGCACGCAGACCCTAAGTCCACAATTTTGAACAGGAGCATGGCGTCTTGCGACCGAAAGCACGGCAGGTTTAAGCGCTGGATCGGGGTTTATCAGTCCTTGTTCCGTATACAGGAAGTGTGCCTCGCAGGGCCTACTATGCAAGTTAGGCTGGTGGAACACTGAGCCCGTCGTTCTACCGAATAGATTCTGATATATCAGAAGTTCTCAACCCAAAATAGCACCCTGTACACGTATCGTGCAAGTTAAGCTCCTTCCTATCTAGAAACCCTGTATTCAATATGATTTCTTATTAACAATGATATCATGAAGGAGTCCAAAAGCCAATTCGATGTATTCAGGCCCCTGCATAACGCTGCATCACATCGTCTTTTGTGCCCTCCCCCGAGCGACCGAGCAATGTTCAGTGCGCCAGGCCTTGACCCCAGATCATACACAGCCAACAAACCCTTACGTTACATTTTCATGAGTTCCACGCAGCCACAAATGGCGCTCTGCCAGTTAGGTGTTGCTTTGACGATGCGTGCTCAGGAATACAACGGGCAATGCTTCAAACCAAGCCCACAACCACCCTAAAGCCCCGAGCCTTCAACCCGAAAGCGAGCCCTGAACTTTGAACCCTAAACGGATAGGATGTTGTTTTTTTTTTTGCTGTTGGTGATCTTTTGAAGTTGAGCTCAGGCCCCAGCGAACCAGCAAGTGAGTGAAGGGCCACTTGGGGGCGCAACAGCAGAAACGAACACCCCCCAGCACCAACAGCAAAAAGAACAACTCCTCTCTGCACCAAAAGCAAAGAAACAACACCACCCAACAGCAAAAGAAAACACACCCGAGCACCAGCAGCAAAAAACAAACACACCCCGGTGCACCAACAGCAAAAACAAGCACACTCCAACAGCAAAACCAAAGCACACACAACACCCCCGGCACCAACAGCAAAAGCACAACAAACAAAGCCTGCACGGACAGCAAAAAGAAGCATCCCCCCTCCGGCACCACCGCAAAGCCAAACCAACAGCGAAACCAAACACTCTTACTAGCCCTAAAATTCCCTCGAAGCCGTCGCGTGAAAGCTGTGCCAACGCCCGTGTGGCAGGTGCCAGGTCAACCAAGGCTGGATGCTGAGCCTGTCCTTGGATTCTGCAATAGGCATGACATGGTTCGTGATGGGCTTTCCTTGTTCTGGCAACTTTATCTCAGTTCCTGCCCGAGAACCCTGGCTGATGTTTATTTGGGGAGTGTGCGTCGGCTCCGGCACGAATTTCGAAGCCTGAATGGGTAGTGTAGCTCTGCGCGGTTATCGTATCATATACCTCGAAACCTTATGTCAATTACCACGGCCCCTAAGCCTGTACATGCTGTAAGACAAAGCTTCTTGGAGGATGCAGTGTAGCCTCTGCTTGTGCAGTTGCGACGAAGCATTGTTGGATGGCCAAGATGGTGGTAGGTACAGAAATACATGTATGTATATGTGTGTGTACACGCATTTATCTAACCTTTGCATGTATGCATGCATGTATGTATGTATGTATGTATGCATGTATGTATGTACATGTATATGTATGCATATGTGTATGCAGAAGGTCACATAGAGCATCGAAATAGGACTTGTCTCATGATAGCTGGTACCTGGAGTGGCCGTACGTCTGCATGGCGCAAGAATTCCCGGATCGTGCGATGCAGCCAACAACTGCTGGAAATGCAATTCGTCTGGCCGTAGCAGTCATACTGCTTGGATTGGCGATTTCCCTTTCCTTGTACCATGAAGGCCGGCGTGCTACAATAGGCTTCCTACTGAACGACTTCTCCAAAGGCACTTCTCACGAACTGCGCGGCGCGAAATTGAGGCCTTCAGATGTCCGGCCGGAATTTCTTAAGAGCAGCACGAGCTTGTCAGTCGCAGTGCCCAGCAGCTCTCTGACCGTGCCCAGTACAGTGCCGCAGATGGCAGAATCTGTGGATTCCTTCACAAAACGTCTGCAGAAGTTGTGGCCCTCTTACGCGTGGCACCGGCGGAAAGATGAGACTCCTCGTATGCTGCAAGCAAACCCAGGCACATATGATAGGTGTCACGAACGCGAGCGGCTGGTTTGGTTTCATCTTTGGGGACAGATCCGCACCTTCGGCATGCACACGCGGAACTTCCGCAGCTTTTTGGAGGGCAGTGGTGCCAAGTGCTGGTTTGTAGTCATATACACAAGAGAAGAGTTCACGACCCGGGATAAAAACGGGGATTGGAACAAGCGCGACAGGCCCATGGCCAGTCGATTTGTTGCAGAAGGCCGCACCGTCACCAGCTACATAGAAGATGCGGCGAAAGAGCTGAGGCTTGGCTCTGTGAGTGTGAACCTGGCATGGGCGCAATCGTCGGTTGCTCACGAGCCGTTCTGTCGCACAGCTCGTTGTGACTGGGACTACACCGCTGGAGTGACACGTTTCGGCCACGAGGTGGGCAAGTTTCACGGCATCCCACAATCAGAAGAAGATGTTATCCTGGTGTCCAGACCCGACATCGTCTTCAGCCATGCAGTGAACGTGACACGGATTTTCGAAGTCATGGCTTGGCAGAAACACATCCTCCTGCCGCACGAGGGATCGAGGGTCGAGGGCAATGACCCGTCAGAGATGTTAGTTATTGGCCCAAGATTAGTGTGGGAGGGGCCATGCATGGTCAAAGCAGACTTACCATGCGGCCCCGTGTTCTGGAAGGACAAGATGTGTGGGTTTTTTGGAACACAGTATGTACACTGGAGCTACTCTCAGGGGGTCATGCCTTTCTTTTACTTCGGCCCGATTAAGCTGCACTTGCACAGGATGTCAGACGATATCAAGTTCGGAATGATGAAGCCCATAGTGAACACAGTGTCTCATGGCAACGATCGAGTCTTGGGGACAACCGATCTTACGCGACAAGCACAGTGCGCTCTGGGCTCAAACGGTCTGGAGGACATGGTCTATCGCTGCAACACGGCGTTGCAGCGACAAGTGAAATCTCCAGAGGGCCCTAGATGCTGGAGTGCTGAGTTTCGTTTTCAGCCAGTGAGTGGCTTGGAGATGCAGGGTGGCAGGCCTGTTCAACAACTTAGCGGCAAGCAGGGCTACTGGTTGTGCTCCGAGCGCGCCGACATCGATGCAAACAGGAGCTGCACTTTCCCGGGCCGCAGGGAGGTACCCAGCACCGTGGCACTCAGCAGCACTGCAGTGCCCACCAGCACCGCAGTGCCCAGCAGCACCGCAGTGCCTAGCAGCACTCTGACCGTTCCCAGTACAGCGCCGCAGACGGCAGAATCTGTGGACTCCTTCACAAAACGTCTGCAGAAGTTGTGGCCCTCTTATGCGTGGCACCGGCGGAAAGATGAGACTCCTCGTATGCTGCAAGCAAACCCAGGCACATATGATAGGTGTCACGAACGCGAGCGGCTGGTTTGGTTTCATCTTTGGGGACAGATCCGCACCTTCGGCATGCACACGCGGAACTTCCGCAGCTTTTTGGAGGGCAGTGGTGCCAAGTGCTGGTTTGTAGTCATATACACAAGAGAAGAGTTCACGAGCCGGGATAAAAACGGGGATTGGAACAAGCGCGACAGGCCCATGGCCAGTCGATTTGTTGCAGAAGGCCGCACCGTCACCAGCTACATAGAAGATGCGGCGAAAGAGCTGAGGCTTGGCTCTGTGAGTGTGAACCTGGCATGGGCGCAATCGTCGGTTGCTCACGAGCCGTTCTGTCGCACAGCTCGTTGTGACTGGGACTACACCGCTGGAGTGACACGTTTCGGCCACGAGGTGGGCAAGTTTCACGGCATCCCACAATCAGAAGAAGATGTTATCCTGGTGTCCAGACCCGACATCGTCTTCAGCCATGCAGTGAACGTGACACGGATTTTCGAAGTCATGGCTTGGCAGAAACACATCCTCTTGCCGCACGAGGGATCGAGGGTCGAGGGCAATGACCCGTCAGAGATGTTAGTTATTGGCCCAAGATTAGTGTGGGAGGGGCCATGCATGTTCAAAGCAGACTTACCATGCGGGCCCGTGTTCTGGAAGGACAAGATGTGTGGGTTTTTTGGAACACAGTATGTACACTGGAGCTACTCTCAGGGGGTCATGCCTTTCTTTTACTTCGGCCCGATTAAGCTGCACTTGCACAGGATGTCAGACGATATCAAGTTCGGGATGATGAAGCCCATAGTGAACACAGTGTCTCATGGCAACGATCGAGTCTTGGGGACAACCGATCTTACGCGACAAGCACAGTGCGCTCTGGGCTCAAACGGTCTGGAGGACATGGTCTATCGCTGCAACACGGCGTTGCAGCGACAAGTGAAATCTCCAGAGGGCCCTAGATGCTGGAGTGCTGAGTTTCGTTTTCAGCCAGTGAGTGGCTTGGAGATGCAGGGTGGCAAGGCTGTTCAACAACTTAGCGGCAAGCAGGGCTACTGGTTGTGCTCCGAGCGCGCCGACATCGACGCAAACAGGAGCTGCACTTTCCCGGGCCCCTCGAAGACGAAGAACCGAGCGGCGGGTGAATGACAGAGTGCTAACAGTCTTCAGCATTTCCTAAGGCTCCCTTCTTCAGGAGCCCTTTTTTTATGGTCCCGGTTAGAACCCGCTTCGGCAGAGAGTCCTTGTAATATGGGGCTAGCAATCATTGAGCAGCATTCCTTGAGGTTCGCCAAAACCGGTGTCAATGCCCTGTTTTGGAACAGAGGATGCTCGGCACGTTGGATTTCAGAGCATGACGTGTTAGACATATGGGGCCCCCCAGCAGAGATACTTCCAAACAGTTTTTTGGGCGCGAGGGTTAAGGGTTTGGGGTTTTGGGGTCTTAGGGTTTGAGGGCTTTGCGAGCTTAGGATTGAGGTTGTCAGGAATAATGCTTTAAGGCACCCCATGCCTCTCTAGCCATCCCCATGCAGTGAAAGAGGCTGAAACGAACAGCCACGTCTGTGCGGTCACCGCATCCTGCACTTTCGGGATGTTCTTTCAGACTTTTAGGGCCCAAGGGCCCAGGGTGCTCGGACGTTGGGTGTAAGGAGTAATTATGTAGGTTCTGTTTGCGATGGTTGGGCTTGCGATTGTCCCGTTGCGCAAAGAATCTGATGCCTGAACCCTGAAGCCCCAACCCCAAACCAAGAGCCCTAAAGCCTGAACCCTTTAAACTTTACACACCTCATCCTAGATCATGAATATTGAGATCGGCATAATTAGGTAGCAGCAGTCCCTTATACGAGCTATACACCAAAACCCGGTCCCAGCTAGTAGGGCCCAAAGTAAACCCAAACGTTAAATGCCGACAACCCGAGCCCAAACACCAAAAGCCGAAGACTTGGGTATACGGTGTAGGGTTTCGGGTTTAGGTTTTAGGGTTTTAGGATGTAGGGTTTCGGCCCCAGCGACCTCCCAAGCCTTCAGCTTTGAAACTTGCCTTTTGCCTCCATAAGAAGGCATTCAATCGGGACAAGAATCCAAAAGTTTCAATGCCAAGCCCTAATATAGGGGCCCAAAAGCCCTATTGTAATCTCCAAACCTTCCGCCGGTGCTCACCCGAAGGAGGCTCTGGAGACAGTTCTGGAAGGATGGCGCTGGCGACAAGGAGAGGGCGCTGGTGATCCACTGGCTACTTCGGTTTATAGGTTGAGGGTTGGAGAGTTTAGGGTCGAGGGCAAGTTCGAGGTTTCGGGTTTCAGCGTTCAGGTTTAAAAGTTGAGATGTTACGGACGGGAAGAAGGTTTTGAGCTGAGGCTTACGAGAGCGCTATAGTAGGTTTAGGGTCCCGAGAGGGATTTCGAAGAAGGGGGGTCGGCAGGGTTTCTGAAGCCTTCAGCAAGTGCCACTGTTGAAGGCTTGGGCGGAGGTTTCCCTAACCCCCGAAACTCTTGAAACATAGTAAACCCCTAAACCCCCAAACCCCTAAAACACCTTCACCCCTTAACCCATGAAGCCCGAATCCCTGAACCCCTAAACCGTCCGTCCTGAACTCCTAAACCCCTATAGGGTATTAGGCTGTTAGCGTTTGGGGTTTAGTTTAGGGTTTAGGATAAAATGGGAGTTTCCGAAAATGGGACCCCTAACAGAGTACCCGAAATAGTAGGATCCTTGTCATAAGGATAACAAAATACGGTACCCAGGTAACCTTTATTTTCGGAAACCACCCGAACCCCCAAAACCCCTAAACCCCTAAACCCTATACCCTAAACCCCTAAACCTCTAAACTTCTAAACCCCTAAACCCCAAGACCCCAAAACCCCAAAACCCTAAGACCCCAAAACCCCAAAACCCCAAAACCCCTGAACCCCTGAACCCCTGAACCCTAACCGGCTGCAACTCAACGCCCTTGAGGCTCAGAAGCACAAAATCCCCAAACCCTAAATCGTAAGCGACCACAATCGCCCCCGCAGCTGGTTCGGGAAAGCTTTATACTGCGGAGCTTTACATAGTTCAGATCGTAGGGCGGACTGGGGGCTGGGTTGTGGCTTTGGTAGGATGGTTTAGGGCTGAAGGTTTAGGGTTCAACGCCTATAGGGCTTGGAGTTTAGGGTTTAGTGCTAAGCCCAGAACGGCAGGTGCTCTGCGATAACAAGGGCGGACCCCACCCAGCATGAAACAGTTCCCTGTTTCAATAAGGAACCCTCAACTTGGTATTGGCAATCATTACGGCACCTATATTATAGAACCCTACTATAGACCCTCATAGAGCCCTTTAAATTATAGTATAATGGGCCCCACAACCCCATTCGAATCATTAAGGCCCCGATAGGAGCCCTGTTTCGGAAGGTGTCAGAGTACGGCTCTCCTCCGCTGGCTGCGAGCCCGAGCGAGACGTTGCTCGGCAGTTCAGTGTTTAGGGTTTAGGGTTCCATCCTGAAAGCTTTTGCTTTATCAAGCGTTTGTCTTCGTTCCTTCTTTTCTTCAGGCTTTCAGGGGATAAGACTTTCTGGGGTTCATTTTGAGGCTTGATCAGGCTTGATTCTTGCTTTTGGGGCATCAGGGCCCCCTACTGGGTACGAAGCCTTGGAGCCTCGAAGTGGTTGGGTTCGGCAAGAAGCCTCCGTAGGGACATGGCCTTATTCTGGCCTTCCTAGACTAGGCCCCCGTCCCCTGGTCAATGGTCTGCAGGCGGGAAGAAGGGTTCAAGACAAAGTCCTAAACTATTCCCTACACCCGAAACCATATTCCCTAAGCCCTAAACTTGCCCTAAACCCTATTCCCTAAAACCCTAAACTTGCCTAAACCCCAAAAGGGTTCCCTAAACCCTATAGGGTTCCCTAAACCCTATAGGGTTCCCCAAACCCTATTCCCTAAACCTTAAACCCTATTCCCTAAACCCTAAACTCTATTGGGGCTGCAAAAGCCTGACAGTGAGACCTAAAGCTTCGGCAGTCCGCGCCAGAATGCAGCTCTGTAGCCCTCCGAGCCCTTCAGCTTTCAGCTTTCAGCTGTAAGGGTTTAGGGATTTTAGGGTTTAGGGTTTAGGGTTTGGGGGGCCCTAAACTACAGAAGTCTTCAAGCATACACACAAGTCCTGCAACTCCATTCGCAAGAGAAGACTGCCATCATAAAACTTCCAGCAAGAAGGAAATACCGAAATCCCGATTCCTGCACTTTCCGGATCTTAACCGGCATGAGTTCCCCTCAAACCTAAGCTCAACCACATCGCGGCTTAGCGGACTCTACCCTAAATCATAAATCCTAACCTACAGACGTCCATCCCAGGTTCTGAACCCTGAGCCTTCTAACAAGAAGCAGCCCTCACCTGGCCTCTGTCTTTGTTGTTTCGCTGGGGAGCAGCAGACGAGGAAAACCAGGTTTTGCCAGGAGAGAGAACACCCCGAAAGGGTAGCCACTTGAGAAACAATCGACCGAAGCCGCTTCTCGTACTAATAAGCAGAGCAACTGGAAATTGTTGCTTGGATGGGGCTGCAGTTTCTTTGCTAGTACCTCGCTCTTCTTGCGGGATGTAGCATGGTAGATTCAGGGTTTGTTTCCAATTCGAGGGTTGAGATTTGGATTTTACGTTTTCAGGGTCTAGGATCTCGAGATTCATTAGGGTGCCACCCGAATAGTTGTGTGTTGAGAGAAGGACGGTACCCCAAGCCCCAACCGCAAGCCGACTCGGAGGAAGAGTCTTGCAGAAGGCCAGGGTGCGGTTGGTTTCTGCTGCGAAACAAGAGCAAGGCTCGCTTTTATGCTTGGGGGTTTCAGGTTTGGCTTTGGCGTTTAGGAAAGACTGCGGTCTGTAGGTTTGGGGGCTTTAGGTTCAGGGATCGCGGGATACAGAGAGAGAAAGCTATGGGGTCAGACGGATGTGGCTCTCAAGTGAGACCCCCGCCAAGCAAGGGGAGAAAGCTTAAAGGAAACCTGGTTAGGGTATTTAGGGTTCAGGGTGTACTCTAAACTGTGGCTTCCAACCCTTGACCCGCAGCATTGAACGCACAGTCTTGCAAGGACTTGAACTACGGCTCACAGCCGATGTACCACTACTCCAAAGCATTCTTCGTAAGCATCTGAGGGCTCAGATTCCTATTTTGGAGGTTTTCTGATGCCTTGAATCTCCTTGTGTAACGCTTATACAAGCCAAGAGTCTCACAGTCCAAGTGCTTAACTCGGAAGTTTTCTAACTGTACTTTGACCATGTTGCAGCCCTTGTAAAGCCTGAGACTTTGCTGTCCAGGTGTCAGGGTGGGTTCAAAGTCCTTAGTTGAAGGCACACCGCCCATCGGGGAGAACTTTGCACTGCACAAGACAATCCAACCCAGCATTACTTCTTATCTGATTTTTCCGGTGTGCCCGAATGCTCTGCCTTGTAAGACCGTCTACATTCTTGCTTTAAAAGACCTTGACCAGAAGTCTTAAGCTGCAACTGTTCAGCTGAATTCCTCAGCCGTTTCCAAAACCCAAGATGCCCGTCTAAGAAGCCAAAACCTGACAGCCCAATATCCCAAGACCCTGAACCTAAACCCGAAAAGCCCTACACCCCCCCTTTTCGGAAAGCCTCATGATCCCTGATCAAGAGCACACATCCTCAAACCGTCCTGAAGCATCATCGAACCTCCAAAACCCATGTCAAAAAATGCCCATACCGCAACTCTATAGTGGAGGCTAAACCCTAAACCCCAAACCCTCAACCCTAAACCCTAAATACTGTACCCTAAACCTTAAACTTTTGAACTTTGAACAATCAACACTATACCCTATACCCCAAACCCGCAACCCTATACCCTAATCTCTAAACCCCTACACCCCTAAACCCTAAACCCCTAAACCCGTAGAGTCCTAGCCCCTACATGTCCGAAGCACCGCACCAGCCAGGGCAAGGGTCTCCCGTGGCCAAGAAGCTCTTTGGTCACGTCTTGCGGGTTTACGTAAGGGTGAAGGGTTTAGGGCTTTTTAGGGTTTAGGGTTTAGGATTTTAGGTTTAGGGTTCAGGATTTAGGTTCAGGGTACTACCAAAGGATTTCTCGGTCACTAACGGCTGTAGAGCTGAGAGCGAGCTCGGGATTTTGTTTGGATTCCGGCTTGGTGACCGTTTT